ATATATATATATATACACACACATACATACATACACATACACATCTCTCTCTCTCTCTCTGTCAAGAGAATTCTTGCCTCCATGTCATTCCTATCAACTCAGTATCCAGCAACATTAGATTCTCTGGTCCATGGGTAGTCAACTGGTAACTCAGAACTGCTGAAAGACTTTGCTACATTTCTCAAGATACCAAATCCTACCCACACTTCCTTCTCACATTTTTGTTGAAAATATCAAGGTCACTGGCAGGACCTTCCTCAACGGCTGTCCACCTGAACCTGTCCACTCCCACACAGGCCTCTCTACTTGATAAGCTTTCTCAACTCCTTCTTAACAAGAGGATGAGAGGATTCTCCTCTTTTCTAAGACCACCCCACCCACACGTGGTTTGCAGTAAGCATGCAGTAAGCATTATTCAGTCTATTTTAATTACAGCTTTCTTTACCAGCATGTTCACCTCACTCAAGTCTAAGAAAAATTCTCCCCTTCGATTACCGTCTTCCTATCTCTTTCCTTTCTCTGACAAGTATCTTAAAACTGTAATCCATCCTACAGCCTGTTCTTCCTCACCACCCACTCACTCTAGTAACTCTTTGTAATCCGGTTTCCTTAGATCACCATCCTGAGATCTCTCTTCCTCACCAATCTGATGACCAACTCTGATTCTCACCTTCCTTGACCTCTCTATCTGATCTAGTGATTATAAAATGATGCCTCTTTCCTCAGAAACACCTGAGTACTCTCCTGGCAATCTGTTGCTGCTGCTTCTTTCTAAAAACCTATAAATATGAGTATTCTTCAAGGCTTTATGTTTTATTCTGCTCTAAAGACACTTGGAGCTGCACAGTTTACAAAGTGTTTTCACATCCATTATCTCCTTTGTTATCAGAACACTGCTCTGAAGCAGGCAGCGTTAGATTTATTATCCTCGTCTTGAAAATGAGGAAGCTAAAGTACAGAAATTAAGTGACTTGCTCAAAGTTGAGCACTTACTAAGTGGCAGAACCGAGTTTTTTCACTTTTCACCTTTACTGGACACCTCTACTCCCTTGGCTTTCTTGACTCTTTGTAAACAAATCTTGTGTCTTGGTCTCCAACTATCACCCGTCTTAAGTTTCCATCATGCACTCCCACTCCCTACTAGAGGATTTTGCATGTCGAATCTCAAGCTCATTATGCCCCCAGCTAAACTACTTATTGTTTTCCCTCCTCTTAACCTTTCTATTTTTCCAGATTTGAAGCCATGGGGGCAACATTCAACTCTTTCCTTTCTCTTTTCTCCTGTAACCAATTTGTTACCTTGCCCTTTGCAGTTTCTTTCTCATCTGCGCCTTCCTCTCTATTTCCATATTATTCTCTTGAAACATACACCCTGTACACTCCTCACCCCCCTTTTTTACACCTAAACTACAATAGTCACCCAATCTTTGTTCTCTCTCCCTAAGCCACTTGAGCCACAAGTTACTTCTTTCCAAAACACAGCTTTACTCTGAAAACTTTCAGGCTCAAAAACATGCAATTCATTTAAGCACCACAGCTAGGCACTCTAGGCCTTTACTCAGCAGGTCACTCTACCTTTCTGATCTTAGTTTCTATTAGTTCCTTATACAAACACAGTTAAATCACTACTTGCTGTTCTTTGGATGTGACTTTCTGCTTTTCTGTCTCTGTGCCTCTGCTCAAAATGCTACTTGTCTCTAACAGTCTCTTTCCTCTCACTTAATAAAATCCAGTCTTTTTTCATGCCTTTCTTGACCATTTCAGCAGAGCAGAGCTCATCTGCCCTCACCAGTATCTACGGTGTTTTACTGCTGTGTACACGCATACACGTGTGTGCTCTGTGTCTCCTACTTAGCTAGAGGTCAGAGATGGAAACTTATTTCTCTTTATAACCAACTCAACACAGAGCCTTCTAAATGAATGTTTCAAAACCTAATAGTACTCTTGGCACAGCAAGCAGGTCAGGTCTCGACTTTCAAAGGGCCAACTGCTTACTCTCAGGACCCATGAGTCATAGTAGACTTCATCCCAGCTGAGGTTTAAGGTATGTGGACTAATGCAGATTGTGAGCACCTTTAGTCAGTAGCCCTTAAAGCTGCTTCCTTCTTTGTTTTCTCCAGATTAGATGAAACAGTCAGTAATAAATGTAGAATACCTGTACTAAGTCCTTAACCAAAAAATAGAAAAATCTCACACTGGTACATTTTCTTTGTGTTTTATCTCCCTTACTTCCACCTCCACAATTCTTCCTATGTCACTTTTGGCATCTTCTTCAGGCTTTTTTTTTTTGTATTGAAGTATAATAATCAGGCATGACTAGGAGTACCCCACTCTGTCTACTTTGAAATATCAAGAAAAACACACACAGAAGAAGAAAAAGCACAAAACATAACTCCTTTTTTCAAACCTTCCCTATATGTTAATATCAACTGCAACATGTTCCACTATTAAAACACAATCTTTTAAAGAGTTAATTTTTTTCTGTAGTTTTCAATAACATGAAAAAGGATTTCCTTCTTTTTTTCTTAGGCTGTCTTGGCTTTTTTTTTTTTTCTTTTTAGTTGATTCAGGGGGGTACATATGCATATTCATTACATGGACATATTGTGTGGCAGTAGGGTCTCAGGTGGCCCATTTCCCAGATAGTGAACACTATGCCCTATAGGTAGTTTCCAAACTCTAACTCCCTTTTCCCCTCTCCCAGTGTCTATTATTTCCATCTGAAAAAGGAGGTCTTTTTTTTTTTTTTAAAGCAGAATTTATTGAGCGAACAGAAAACCTCCCACAGTGGGAGGGGATCTGAGGAGGTTGCCCAAAAAGGATTTCTTTAATGAATGTTCCAGGCTGCGCATGGTGGCTCATGCCTATAATCTCAGCACTACCAGCACTTTGGGAGGCCAAGCTGAGAGGATTGCCTGAGCCCACAGGTTCGAGACCTGCCTGGGCAACTTCGCAAGACCTCATCTCTACAATAAATCAAAAAATTAGCTGGGCATGGTGGTGTGTGCCTGTAGTTCCTGGAAGGCTGAGGCGGAAGGATCACCTGAGCCCAGCAGGTTGAGGCTACAGTGGCCGTGAGTGTGACACTGCATTCCAGCCTGGACAACAGAGTGAGACTCCAACTCAAAAAAACACACCTAGATGTTCCAAAGTAAAGAACTCCAAAGCACTGTATTTGGGAAAACTTCAAAGCAGTTGAAGACCTCTTCAAAAATAAACATGTATCCATAGGGTAAATTAAACTAAAAAAAAAAAAACCCAAACAAAAACCTTAATAATAAGGTACTAGTCACATAACATTTTATAGTCTCAAAGGATTCTCACATGCTTTGGGTCTTACAAAAACTTTATGAGTCAGACAGGGCTGCTATTTTTCCTTTCAATACTATCCTTTCAAAAGATAAGAAACTTGAGTCTCATATTTAGTGACTCTTTCAAGTCAACTGGAACTGGAACTCAGATCTACCAAGGGATAACCATATTTACTTCAAGAGTGGCTTTCAAACAGGACTCTGCAGAAGAGTCCTGTGGCCACTCTGTGTCATGTAGGGTGCAGTACAGGGTAGGAAGGGTGTGGAGGAGGGTGAGACAAGGAGGATGACTGGGGAGTAGGTGTGGTCCTAGCCCTTCCCACTCACAGATCCGAGTTCTGCTTCATTCATTGTCTATATTGGGTCCCCACTGCATTACACAAAGTTCTACTGCTTTCAGGAGAGAAATGTTTAGTTGCATCAGTGGATAAAATGATTCCTATGGTCATAGTTTGAAAAAAATAAGTCAACTCACATAATATTCAATAGTCAATATTAACATTTACACAGAACAAAAAATTACCTCAAAATAAAAGATTTCATTAAACTGTGGATTGCTTGTTTTCTTCTTTACTTTCGTCTTCTTTTGGTCATTCCTGTTCCAATGTGGTAGAGTTTTACCTTGTAGAACTTAACAGTACACAATTATAAAACATGCTATTTCCAACCAGGGAGCCCGATCTCTGTGTAGAAGTGAAGATGACTCAGGCAAGAGTGTAGTTTCAAATATTACTTGGAAAAAATTGAGGTGACCCTACAAACTCAAATCAAAGGATATACAAGCTTCGTATATCCTATATATGCTAAGATTTTAAAAATTCTCTCTAAGGCTATACGAGATCATCAAGCTTCTTAAGAGGTTTTAAAAACACCTTTCTATTATATAAGCAACTCAGAATATAGGATGAAAAGGAAGACAATGAGATTTAGAGTACCTTTATCTATGTTGAAAAATATCTGAGGAACATGAAAAACATTCCTAACTCAGTTTACTTCTTAGGCTTCAGCTACAATAGTGACTTTAAAAAACAAACAACTCTTCAATTTTGAAATAAGTATGGATTCAGAGGAGGTTACCATGAAATGTACAGGAAAAACCTGCACCTTTATCCAGCATCCCCATTGTTAACATCTTACACAACCGTAGTACAATAGCAAAACAGTGACTTTTTAAAACACAAATTCATATGCCAAATAGTTTCTAATTGTATGTTACTAAACTGTTAAAGAATCTGTCAGGTGTAGATTATTAAAAAACAAAACTAAAAATAGCTTTACAAGGTTGAATATCTTTAACATGCAAAAATAAATTCCTCGGATAATATTTAATGTTATAGGCCCGAGTATTTACTTTTAACTATAAAATCATCTTTAATAATAATAACACACCATTGTCGTACTGAGTACTTTATATGCACATACAAATACATTTTTCAAAGTGACTAATGAGTGATTTTCTAAAAAATAACTAGAAATCTTGGAGTAGGGAGAAGGAATGTGTATCTGTGTGTATATATATGTACGTGTAGAGGGAATATTGTACATCTGTTTTCAGATTCTAAACCTTCAAGTTGTAGACATATTTCCTACTCAGTTCCTTAAGGAAATGGTAATAAAGTGATACAAAACCAAATATTACAAAAGACTATAGGATTTTTCATAAGTTACCATAAATCATTTACATCAGTGAGGTGATATGCTTCACCACACTCTCATATTTCAGGAATTTGTCTCTGTTGGAACTCTCTCTGCAGAAGACAGATCTTATGAATACAATAGGCAGTTTTCAAGTGCTGTGCGGCCTTCCAGATCAAAATATGGAATTTGCCTTTATTCTGAACTAAAACTTATTAAAACAGGATTTACCGGCATAAAGTTTAGGACATTTGAAAGTATGAATGTTGATGAACGAAGATAACCAAGTTTATGTTTTAAAGTACTAAACTGTAACAGTATAAAACTGAGGTTGTTCTCCCATGACCTGAGACTGGTAGATTTGAAATGGCACACATTTTCTTTCTGTAAAAAACAGAACTCACTAAAGAGTTTTCTTTCAAAGTACTCATTACTCTGTGTAATAAAATAGCTATTGATCATAATTTGCTCTTAGAACCTTAATTTGATAATAGTTAAATCAAACTTTAAAAGTTAAAAATCTACTAATAATTCAATAATCATTACCTAGAAGGGCCCACTAGAGAAACTGTTGCATAAGGGTCACAGCTTTGGCCATTTATGAGAGGCAACCCATGGCATGCCTTGACGCTAAGGTAGAATAAAAGAGATTTAACACATTAGATTCCAGTTAAACAAGATAAAACATTATCTTTAAATACAGACTAATATGCTCAAAGTGTTCAGAGTTGTTTTCCACATGTCTGCAGCTGTATGGTTAAATACCGTCTACTCCAAATATGAGTGCATGCATCTATTTATTTATGCTATATTTTCAAAATGGGACTAAGTAGGAATGCCACAATCAGTACTGCAGCTACTAAATATGGATCAGTTTCCCAAATCCGAAATCCTCCAGAATCTGAAACTTTTTGAGTGCCAATATGATGCTCAAAGGAAATGCTCACTGGAACATTTCAGATTTCAGATTTTCGGATGTGGGATGCTTGACTGGCAAGTATATAGAATGCAAATATTCCAAAATCTAAAAACAATCGGAAATCCAAAAACATTTCTGGCCCCAAGCATTCTGGATAAAGGATACTCGAGCTATAATATTTCACACATTTCCTCCTGCTGAATAACAAACAAGGTACATTTTGTGGTTTGATAACACATCAAAACTTGCGGTTTCTAAAAAGGAAAAGAAAGCTGTACAAACCGTAAATGAGAAGCTACACCCCAAGTTGGGTTTATGGCATCATATCCTCTGCTAGAATATGAATGACAAACAAGGAAACAACTGTGGTTTCCACTTAGACATCTAATTCATAAATATAGGGCAAGTCTCACATCATTCTGTAGTCTTTTATTCTGATTCTCAATAACAGCTCCTGAATCATTCTGTAGAAAATGCTTTAGGCCATAAAAACAAAGATCATCTGACCCATGCCACAGATGACAGTCATTGGTACTTACAGAGAACACAGAATTTCACCTAATGATCTGTTCCTCAAATTTCCTTACTAAATACGACTGAGTTCATAAGTTTTGCTTAATGCTTAAGAGACTACATTTCCTAATGCCTAAGAGAAACTCATGCGTGTTGCTGAAAAGTATTCTTTGTTGAGAGATGCTGGCTGTTGAGCAACATCCTTCTTTCTCTCTATAACCCACAGATCACATACGTGGGTGAAGTGCAAATGGTGGACTGCCAAGTAAAGGGAGAAATGAGACTATGACTTGTTTCTAGTAAGCTGGGCATCAAAAATCAAATTTAAAAAAAAACCCCCAAAACTAACCAAAGAAAGCACAGAGCAAGTTAATTCTAGTTTTTAATGTTAGGCTCACGTAGAGTCAAATTTTCCCACTGTCCTTACTGTTTGAAACTTACACTTCTCAGCTAAACCTCAAAATGATACCTGAGTTTTATATAGCATTTGCAGTTTACTATGCACTTTCAAAAAATGTACCTAATTCTTAACAGTTAGCCTTTGAGAAGAGTTACCATGCCACTTTAAAGAAGAAAGTAAAGCACAAGAAGGCCATGTGAGAAAGCAACAACGTGAGGCCCAAAGAGGTAACAACTAGTAAGAAGCCAGCCAAGACTCAACTGCTTTTTGTTTTTTGAGTTGGGGGTCTCACTCAGATGTCCAGGTTGGAGTACAGTGGCATGGTCGCGAGGATCAAGCTCACTGCAGCCTCGACCTTTCGGGCTCAGGTGATCCTTCCGCCTCAGCCTTCCTTCCAAGTAGCAGGGCCTACAGGTGCATGCCATCACGCCTGGCTTATTTTTTATTTTTTTGTAGCAACGAGGCATTTCTATGTGCCCAGGCTGGTCTCGAACTCTTGGGCTCAAGCAGTTCTCCCGTCTCAGTCTCCCAAAGTGCTGGGATTACAGGCGTGAGCCACTGAGCCTGCTACAACTGTTTTTTTAAACTGAAAAATCCAGTGCCCGTCTATATTACCACTGTGCCTGAAAATATTGCATTACTCTCCTTGCAATAACATATTTATCTCATATAAACAATTATAGAAATTCAATTTACTATAATTTTACAAGGTATTAAGAAACAGAAAAACGCAATACTGACTTATAAGTATACAAAATCTTCTGACTGGCCATAGTACCTCACGCCTGTAATCTCAGCACTTTGGAAGGTGGAGGTGGGAGAACTGCTTGAGGCCAGGAATTGGAGACCAGTCTTGGCAAGATAGCAAGACCCTGTCTCTAAAAAAAAAAATAATAATAATTAGCTGGGTGTGGTGGTACATGCCTGAAGCCCTAGCTGCTCAGGAGGCTGAGTCAGAAGGATCACTTGAGTCCAAGAGACGGAGGTTACAGTGAGCTATGATCACTCTATTACACTACACTCCAGCCTGAACAACAGAGCAAGACTTTGTCTCAATAAACAAAATAAAAAACCAAAAAGAAAAAAAATTATCTCAAAGACTTATCAGAGTGCCTGCAAACCAAAACAACGATGCCAATAAAACAAAAGTATGTACCAATAAAAAATCAACAGAAGTACTCTTAATTGAATTTTCTGCCAAGCGTAAGTAATAATATTAAACATAGGTTATCTGCATATATTTCAAAATGCCTGAAATACCACTGTTCTTCTAATTTGTAAACCTAGCAATTTAATATCATAAATCATGGATGGGCAGAAAACAATAACCTCAATACACTGAATTCTCATATTTTGTTTCTATGTGACATATAAAGCATCTATACTTGACAAATTTTAACTTCGATATTCAACCAAGGATAGCCCTAACAGGGACTGGATTTACCTCAATCAAAATAACTAAAAATTTGGACAAAATCAGAAGTATAGAACTGTGGTTCCCAAGGGAGGAATAGACAGGGTGAGTCCTTCAAATGCCCCAGCTTACTACTAGATGGTTTCTAAGAAGAGGAGACAAAGATGTCAGCTGAGGAACAAAGTGTCTTGCGTTCCCATGGCAGAGTACTACAGGGAAGAAAGCTGCATAGAGAAAGAAAAATCTCCAGAGAGCTACAAGGCTCCTCAATGAGTCTTTGGCTGAGTACTGCTAAGTACAAATACATGTGAGGAAACAACCTGAGGCTGGAGAAAGAACCATTTGAAAAGAACAGAGGGGACAATTCCCAAAGCCCACACATGGCTAGCAAGAGGGTCCACAGCCACAGTAGAATTCATGGGTGCTGCCTCAGTAGTGGGAAAATGTAAGCCCTAGAGTAAAGGCTGCTCTTGTTGTTTAACAAAGGTTAAAAGCAAACCACAAAAGGATCAAACTCTTTCCATGTAACTTAACTGAGTGTCCCGAACAAAGTTCAAGTATACTCACAGAAATACAAAAATATCAGCAACTTTACAATGTCTGACATGCAACAGAAAATAACCAAGAATGCAAAGAACCAATGAATTGTAACTCATAATAAAAAAAATAAACAGAAACAGAAATGATATAGAATTAGTAGATAAGGACATTTAAAAAGTATCAACTATATTTCATATGTTCTGTAGAGATACAGGAGACATGAAAAAGCAAAAGTCTAGAGATGAGAAACATAAGGTTTGACGTGAAAAACACTGAGTGGAATTAAACACTTGCTAAGACTGTGGGGAGGAGCTGGACAGATATGAGACTAGTTCAGTTTTAAATGTGTTGACAGTGCTGTGATACATCAAAGTGGACATATGAATTTGAAACTCAGAAAATACACCTGGATTGAATGTATCAAATACAGACAGTTTTTAAAAACCTTTTATTTTGAAACAATTTCAAACATCCAAAAACACTGTACAAATAATATATCTTATCATTCTGTGTAACAATAGAGGAATTACTGAAATCATAAACATGTTAATTAGTAACAACATTAACTAATCTACAGATACTCAAATTTCACCACTGTCCTTTTATAATCCAGGACACAAGATCCCACACTGTACTTAGCTGCCACATCTTCTTAGTTTCCCCTAGCCTGAAACAGTTCTTACTTAGTGTTCCTTCTTTGTCCCATGATCTTGCCAGTACTGTTCGTCATCATACATAGTGTGTTCACTCATGATCTACAGCTGATTTGTTCCCTCAAACAATTATGACTGTGTTGTTTGCCAACGCTTTTTATTTCCATCATTCTTCCTACATTCACTAATTAGAATTCTACTATAAGGAAAGGCAATCCTTTCTCCCCCATATACTTATTTGTTGACATATCAGTTCTGGCTCATGGATATTTATTTTATTCTACAGGTTTTAGTTCACTATTATCATTATTTATTTTGAGGTTCAAATTGTCCCAGATTTGGTCATTTGCAGTCCCTTCAAATAAGCTTCAATGTCCTTTCTATATACCCCCACTATATTTGAGCACTGACTTACTTTCTGACTTTGCTCCATGTTCCTCTTACGTTTTCTCTGCCCAAGTCCTGATGTCAGTCACTGCTAAGCACAAGTCCAGGTTCTTTTATTGAATTTGCACTAATACTGTAGCCATTAGCCATGTGTGGCTATTTAAATTTGAATAGTCTAAAGTTAAGCAAAAGTAAAAATCCAGCTCTTTTGTCACACTAGCCATATATCAAGTTTTTAATAGTCACACATGCCTAGTAGCTACTGTTTTGGACAGTGAATATAAAAGACATTTTGTTACAGAAAGATCTACTGGACAGTGCTGACTGGTAATATTTAGAAATAAATATATGGGTGCTAAGTATACTCCCTGCTACTGGGATGACATTGCTTCTAGGCCTTCTCGGTGAACAGAGCTGTGTACCTACACACACACTGTGTACCTACACACACTCTTTTCCTTGAGAAATCTGCCTTCAAAGGACAGCAAAGAAATGGGAATGGTAAATAGGGGTGGGTTGTGGGTGGGAAGAGATGTGGTTTGGGGAGGCATGCCTTTTAGAAGGGAATATACGAGAATACATGTATATGGTGGTGAGAACCATCTAGGAGAGAGAGTAGAGCTGATGAAACAGGAGGAAAAAAAGGCATAACTGAAAGAGCAAAGTCCTTGAGTAGGGGAAACAGAGGAATCCAGAGCGCAGATGGAAGAATTCACCCTCAAGAGAAGGGAACCCCCTCTATTGTCACATCGGGACAAAAAGATGGGTGCAAATACAGGTCTGCAGATTTGGGATCAGGAAGAC